TGGGCTCAGCCTCTTGGCTCCCTGAATGGGAGAAGGGGCACGTGGGTGGATATATGGCTTGGGAAGGGGGACCGGCCCTCCCCTGAGCTGTGAGGGTGGGAGACGGGCCAGAGCCCCATGGCGCTAGGTGCTGTACAAACACAGACAACCCCTGCCCCCAGAGAGCTCCCAGTCTAGCTACCAGCAGGCCGGCCCCCAGGAGGCTGCTGCCTTGAACCAAGCCTGGGAATGCGGCGAAGCAGGGGGGACCCAAGCAAAGGTTCCAGCCAGCAGTAGCTAAAATTTGCCAGCAGAGGTTGGTCTCTGAGGGCCAAAGGCAGCTAGATGGAGGGCGGCACCATTGCATGGGAGACTGGGTCTGAACTTCCCCCAAGGTGCCTGGCTCAAAGCTCAGCGTTCTCAGCAGGCACCGGTCCGGGGGCAAGCCCCCGTCCTTGGCCGGAGAGAGAGGAGCTGGCATGGGGGTGTCAGATGGCAACAGACAGGCTGCAGGGAGCTACCCAGAGCTAATCCTCCATCAGGATTCAGTCGAGTCTTGCAGACCCCCACACCGGCGGCTGGGGGAGCTCGGAGGAAAGCGATGGAGGAACACCATTGCCTTGTAACAAACTCCACCAGTGGGAGAGGGCTGTGTATCAGGGATGGGGGGGTCCTGGCTGGGAGACCAGGGCAGATCTGAGCCATCCATCCAAGCAATGGCATGAAACACAGGGCCAAATCCCTTCCAGAGGGGGTACTCAGAGGAACCTCAACTTCTTCCCCCCCATCCCCTTTGAAGAATGGTGCAGCCTAAATTCTCTCCTGCTGCTTGCACCCCCCACCCCCCAAACTTCATGCCTGGCTCTTCCATAATAAGAGACCCAGTAAAAAATCCCCCCCACTCTTGGAGAAAAGCCTAAATCTTGAGCCTACCTTAAACTGACCACGTCTTAGCACCTGGGAGCCTTAGTCCTAGACCCTGGCCCCGTGGTGCTAGGCGCTGTACAAACACAGGACAAAAATGTTTAATAATCCAGGCTGGGAGGGTGAGAGGGGTGAGACCCAGCCATAGTGCGGCTGCAGAATCCAGCGGTTTGCTCCACCCCACTATAAAGCAAAGGTTTTTCTCCAGCAGAGCAGAGATGCCTTGAGCAATTCCACCCAGGGCTCAGGCAGCCGGGGGGCTGCTGCAGATGCAGAGGTGGTGGTGGGAGGGGATGTCCATGGCCATTCAATGACTCTGCGACATCCAAAGCTGCTTCCTGGCATGTGCCACCCACCCTGCAGCGGCTACTGTATTGAGGGATCCCATCTCTTTGGGGAAGGGCGGCTAGATCTGGGGGAGTAGTTCAGGCCCATCTGTGGGTTTGTTGTCAGTCACCCATTCCTCTGTCCTGCTCACCAATCCAAGGAGCGCTGGCTCCCCCCGGTGTTGGAACATGGGAGCGCAGGAAGGGACGCTCGATATTGGGCACTGCGAGAACAACTTTGTTGGGGCGCTTGACGAACAGTAATTTGGGGCAAGATTCCCTCCCCTCCCCCGAGAGAGTTCAGGGCTGGATTTTCAAGCACTCATCACCCAGCCTGCACAACTTTCGGTGAACCTGGGCACTGCTGCGGGGTTCTGGGCACCGGGCCCCAAAGGGCTGAGGCCCACCCAGCTCCTAGGTTCATGGAGCTCCAGGTGCTCTGTGGCGCCGGGGCCTGGGTGTCTCCAAGGGGACTGTGACACCCAGAGTTAGTGGTAGCTCCTGAAAGCAATGGGCTAATTGCACCCCCGCTCAGCCTGGGCTGGGGGTGGGGTGGGGGGGGCTGCATCTGCCATGGGCACCCGGCAATAGGAAAGCGTGCAGCAAACTCACTTCACCCAAGCGACCAGGTTGGTGCAGCTCAGGTGACCGCTTTGCAGCCTCGAGGGGCCTGACCCCAGCAGAAGCCGCAGGGCCCTGTGCTGCACAGGACACTGGCTGCAGATTGGAGTGGGGAAGGGCAGGGGAGGGTGCGTGGCAGGCTGAGGCCTAAACCCCAGGTTCTGTCTCCCTGTCCTCCGCAGGGGAGAGCCGGAAGGAGAGTCGCAGGGTGAGCCACCCCACGCTGGCGCCTCTGGCCCCGCAGCACCACGGCCCCCTGACGGAGGCGAACGGCGGCAAGGACCGGCTGCACCAGATCTCGCTGAGCAGCGACGGCAAGCCGGACTTGGAGACGGTGCGTTGCGGGAGGGGGCAGGGACAGGGCAAGCACGTGCCTGTGGAAGTCTGACGTGAGGCGTCTCCTGCACAGGCACCCAGCGCCGGTAGAGAAAACACCTGGGTTCCCCTGGCAGCGCTCCTGCAGCACCTCCGGCTGGCAATGGAGTAGCTGGGAGCTGCTGCCCTGCTCCCTACAGTGCCCCCTGCTGGGAGAGGCTGGGACGGCAGTAGCTGGGAGCTTCCCTCACAGCCAGCACCCCTGCCCTGCTCCCTACAGTGCCCCCTGCTGGGAGAGGCTGGGACTGAGTTTGTAGCCTACAAACAGCTGTCTCGGGCTCTGCAGTCCCTGGGCTGGAGAGCTCCTGCTGCAGGGAGATGAGCTCCCTGGCATGCTGGTTGCCCCTGTCGGCAAAGAGGAGGGCAGAGCCCAATGCATAGGCTGGCTGGGGCATGGGGGCGGGCAGGGGGGGGAGAAGAGGCAGCTGTGAGAGCTGGAGGGAAAGCCCAGCGAGTCCCGTGCCTCCTGAGCTTGCAATCTGTCCTGTCCCCTGGCAGGCTCCGTGCCGCATGCACCTGGCAGCCGTCATGCTGGAGCTCAAGGCCCCGCTGTACCTGAGCGGAGAGGACATCTTCATTCCCAACTGCGACACCAAAGGCTTCTACAGGAAAAAACAGGTAGGGTAGGAGCCAGGTTCCCCTGGGCTGGGGCACCAGGAGTGCTGGATGGAGTCAGAGCCGTGAGCCCTCCAGGTGCAGGGCATTGGCAGGGAGCCAGTGAGCAGCTGCCCAGACACAGCATTGGACTGGCTGGTGATCAGCCCAATGGGGCACTGACCTAGGGTGACCAGATGTCCCGATTTTATAGGGACAGTCCCAATTTGTGGGGGCTTTGTCTTATATAGGTGCCTATTACCCCTCCATACCGAATTTTCACACTTGCTGTCTGGTCACCCTACACCGACCTCTGTGTCCAGCCACTGGCCCAGCCAGACCTATGTCCTGTCGGCTGCCCTAGCAGATCAGTGCATGCGTCTTCTACCGCCCCCTGCCATACCGGGCTAGTGCCTGGGACCATCTGGCTGTTACCCCAGAACAGGCACCGCCAGCTCCAAACAGCCAGAGATTTTAAACCAGGCCCCCTGAGGCAGGCTCTTTTTGCCCATCTGGGTTCTCATCCTTTACAGGACAGTACAGCCTAGTGGACACAGTACCGTTGCTGCCCTGCCCAGTGCCTCAGTTTCCCCATCCATATGTAAAGCACTTGGCGATGGAGGGGTGGCAAGTGCTAGAAGAAAAGCTAGAAGATACCAATCTCTAGCTCTTCTCTGGAGCCATGAGGGTTAGAAACGTACTCCCAGTCTCTGGAAGGATCTCAGCTTTCATTTAATGGTCCCATGACTCCAGGAGCTGGGGCTTCATTGCAGGGGGTGGGGGTGGAAATGCCTCAGATTACAAGACTGTCGATCAGCTCATTGGTATGTCCTCTCTCACAGCCGCCCTCCCCCTTGTCTTTTCCTCTTCCAGTGCCGGGCATCCAAAGGACAGAGGCGAGGCCAGTGCTGGTGTGTGGATAAGAAGGGCCACCCGCTGGCCGGCTCGGGGGGGCTGGAGGGCAACCCCCATTGTCTGCCCAACGGGAGTGACTGAGGGGGGTGGGCTGGGCTCGAGCGGGGCTGGAGGAGGCTCAGCCTCATAGACACTGCGGGAAGAAAAGCCTGAGGACGCAGAAGCATTTGCCTTTAATTTATTACCTGGCACCGTGGCTGTTGGGAGGAGCTGGCCTGAAGGCAGCTTGGGGGCGCTGCCCTCCCTGGGGATTGGCCTTTCCCCCCTTCCCCATTCACACCCAGGACTGGCTGGGCACAGGTGGCAGGGAATAGCCCTGCACCTGGCCCCTGGGGAGGGGTGGGGCTGGGCTAGCAGGGCTCCCTCCACCCCATGGCTCTGGGGTAGCAGCCTGGGGCCCATGCCGCTGCTTTGGGGGTCTGCTAGGTGTTTGTTCAATAAGCTATTGGGAGTGGGGGCGAGGGGGGGTCTGCAGCATCCCCTGGTGCTTCCAACCCCCCACCCACAGCTGCATTTTCTACAATGGGGAGTTTCTCCCTTGGACTGGGGTGGGGGGGTGAACTGCTTTTCTGGGTGGGGAACAATGAAGGCTGGTATTGGAAGAGTGCTATTAATGTTGGCGCTTGGTGGGGGGGATACGCTGGGAAGGGCAGCATGGTTTTGGGGGACAGGCTGGAAACAGCCAGCAAGAGCTCACCCCTGCACCCCCAAATCTCAGGATCCCAACCCCCACCCGTCCACACACCCTGAGCTGCAGTTGGACGCCAATTAAGAAGCTGGGAGAGGGGCAGGGGGAATGGGAGGGGAGCAAGGGATGGGGGGACGGATGTGGGACAAGCAACCTTTCACTTTCTGACCTTCCTCCTGACAGCCCTCCCCGCCCCAGGAACACTGCTGGCTGGGGAGAGTCCTGCAGCCAGCTGGATGTGGGGGGCACTGGGGCAGAGGCAGCTGGAGCGGGAGTCAGGGCCAGGCTGTGCCACCCCCTCTCCCCCATCCCACAGCTCTGCTTTTGCTGTCACCTGTCCTGCAGCTCCTTTACCTTAATGCGCTCTCCTGAGGATTGTTGGATGCTTCTGGGATATTTTTATTTTAAATAAAGCTGAGTTTGGTTTTTGGAGGGCCTGGCGCTCGCCTTCTTTCTGCTGTGCTGCCCTCCAGACCCCACCTTAGAGCTTGTCTATCTGGGGAAATAGGCTGTACCAGAATAACTAACCGGCCCTTAGTCCAGTTAGATGTCCTGGCGCCCATGGCCAGTCCACGCTACAGCCAGGCTCTGCCAGCGTGACCCCTGGTAGAGACACAGTTATGCCACCCCGACGAATGACAGACAGCATCTACATGAGTTCTTTTGCTGGCACAGCAATGCTGGATAGGGGAACGTCACCACACCTTTGTCCCACAGACCTGGCCTATTTCAGTGTGGACTCTCCACCTGCCTTTGGAACAGGGCCCTCTCTTAGGGCCACGTGTCGTGATGCTCAGCCATCCCTTTGGTCAGGTTGGTACTGATGAGAGTAGCAGCGACTTGCTTTTCTTTGGTCGCACTCAGTTCCATTGGCGGAAGGAGCATCCATCCTGCTTATGTGGCCCTACCTGCTTCCTGGAGTCCGTCAGCAGCCCTCTGTTTAATGAATGCTATTGACAATGCGGATGAGATCCGCCCGGAATGGCTGAGGCCAGTTGGAAGAGAATCAGAGCCATCGCTTGAGCCCCAGTGTGCAAAAAAACAAACAAATGGGGGGCGGATATTTTATATCCTGGGCTCCTGGGCTGGACCACATCTCCCATGGCGTACCATGGTTCCCCTCGTGGAGAGAGGAGGCAGTGGCTCATGGGAGATAGAGTCCAGCTGAGGAGTCTGGCCTGTAGAAGAGAGTGAGGGAATGAGGCATCTGAACTACAACTCTCATGAGGCCCCATGGCAGCATCGCAAAGAACATTTTGTTGGCTTTCACATGTTCGCTTGTTTTACCAAAAAAAAAAATCAGCCATTCCTGCAGGAACAAGGCCGGACTGTGACTAGATTTACTTAGTGGAACACCTAATGTTCCATCAGGAAACAGTTCAACAGATCATTTTCAACCAGCCCGGATGAGATCTCTGTCCTCCCCTTGGGGGTTCCCTCCAGGGGCAGATGGGGGGCAGGTGAGAGTTTCCAGGTCTGGCCCTGCCCCAGAGTTGGCTGGAGGCCTCTGGCTAGGGGGCTGCCAACTGGGGATCTGGCATCAGCACTAAATTGGGTTCAAAGATTTCTTTAAGTGCGGGCAGGGCCGTAAAATGTAGCTTCTTCCAAGCCAGCCCCAGCCCTGCGGCTGGAGGGCCTGAGAGCTCAGCCCTGCAGAGGTATCGCCTCGGTAACCCTTCATCAGTTGCCGATAAGAGCCCGGGGCGGTTGGCTCAAAGTTCCCCCTCAGCCCCAAGAGGCCTTAGCCCTGCTGGGAAGTCCAAGGCTGCCAGACAGGCTGAATGCCAGCAGGGTGCTGCCTTGTAAAGCCAATGGGTCCATTTGGCTCACCTCCCCCCCACTGCAGAGTGGGAGAAAAAGGGGCAAAGATGCTTCTTCATGGAGGAGGGTGGGTTGTTCTGGGGCATGAAGGGAACAAAGAGGGGCCCCATGGTGTGGGGCAGAGACAGCCCCTTGTGAGGGGGGGCAGAGGGCGGAGGAAGGGTGGTGGTCCCTAAGCAGCGGTGCCTAGCACGAAGATGTTTGAATCGTCACTCTGGAACGTTGCGCGGCTGCGGGCCAAATGACTCACTGGTGTAAGCAGGCGTGAAACCCTCTCCCCTCCTGGGAGCTTCCTTACACCTAATGCTGATCCCTTTCCCTTCCCCGCCTGAGATGCAGCCAGCTCTGGGGCAGAGCATAGCGGCTGTTCAGTCACGGTGTAGGGCAGGGAGCAGAGATGAGCGCTGTGCCCCAATGAGATCACAGGAGGAACAGAGATCAGCAGGGGATGGGCTAACCGGGAGCCCAGCCTGGCACCCATCCTGCTCTTTCTTGCTGCAACTTCCCTGCGCAAAGCCTGCTGGGAATATCCAAGAGCCAGCGGTACCCACAATCAGCAAGAGACAGGGATGCGGCTCTGAGTGTCTCCACACCGGCCCATAGGGGAGCAAAGGTACCAGTCTAGGTGCCTGCTCCACCTCTGCCCAGGCCCATCCCATGTGGCGGGGACCTGATGATTATGTGCCCAAAGGCAAAGTTTTAAAGTGTGTGTGGGGGGGTGTGACCCCGGCTGGGGGCAGAGGTTGGAGCCACAGGCCCTGCTATCTCTGCCCTGATAAGGGCTTTATCTTATCACCCCTGCGAGGAGGGTCCAAGGCTCCCATCTCCAGCCTGGATCCCAGAGTGTAAAAACTCCTCCAAGGACTTTACCCCCCTTGCCAATCAGCTGACCGGACAGGGCCCAGCGCTGGGAGGGAGGCAGTCCCGGGGGAAGAGGAGGATGGTAGCTCTGGGGCGGCCGCTCTGACCCAGTTCCATTCCCTCCGGGGCTGACATGGAGCAAGGCCAGAGGGCCCCTGGCAGAGCCAGGCAGAGGAAGAGAGCGGGACGAAGGCAGGAGGAAGAGGAGGAGACTCAGGGGCTGGACGGTGAGGAGCAGGGGCAGAGCGGGAGCGGGGGGATAGGAAGGAGGAGGAAGGGGAGGTGGGGTGCAGCATTGCAGGAGCTCTGGGCAGGCGCCCAAGTATAGATGGGACCTGCCAGGGCATCAGAGCTGGGGGGGCGGTGCCTGGGTCCAGAGCAGTGACTGCCCAGCGTGCAGGTGTTGGGGACAGCGCAGCCTGGGGCATGTCACTGGTGCCTGGGGCTGGAGCAGCGTGTGCCCGAGCGGCATGTGCCAGGTCACAGCCGTGTGCGGGTGACTGGTTGTGGCATGTTACAGCCATGTGGGTTGCCAGGTACCTTGTGGTGAGCATCTGGCATTTCAGACCCATGTGCCCATGCCCAGGTAGCGGGGGGGAGGGGGGGCTGTGTATTACCCAGCTGGGGTGGACAGGCAGGGAGCTTGCCAGGTGGGGCTGGCAGCTCAGGCGTTTCCCCTCATCCTTTTACGACCCAGCAGCTGCAGTCCTGGGAGCTCCAGGTTCAGGCAGTGGCACCAGCCTGCGCTGGGGCTGGCACGTCAATGCCCCACCAGTCCCTGTGAGCCAGCCGGCCGGGCTGGCATCCAACCCCTCCTGCAGTGGTGCCGGCTCGGTGGGCTGGTTTCCATGGGCCCATCCCACTCCAATTCGCCTCTGTCACGGTACGAGATGGCACCAAGCCGTGGCGGAAATGGGGTGGGGGGGATCCCCAAACCTCCAGGCAAATGGGGATATTTCCGGCCCTGCCACGTGGCCATATTGTGGTGCCGGTGGTGTTGGTTGCCAAGGCATCAGGCCCTCAGAGAGCTGCCGACCCCTCTGGCATGGAAATGAGGGGCCCCCAATGCACCCCTGGCTCTGACAGGAGCTGCGCTATTCAGCACCTCCCCTCCAGGGGGCACCACCCAGCGGGTGACACGTGACTGACCTGCTGCCCCCTGCTCCCCCACCCCAGGGAACATCGAGCAACCGGAGAGTGTCACCAGCCTCATCCAATGGAGGAGACGCATGGAGGTAAGGCAGGGCTCCACCTGGGTCTGGGGTGGGCAGCGGGGGCTACGTGGATGGTTGCTGGGGAAGGAGCAATGGCGGGGTCCCATGGGAGAGCCCTTCCCCCCAGGCAGCTTGTCTCCTGGGCTGGTGGTGGGGGATCGGGGCCAGGGGAGGATGCTGATGGCTCCGGAGCAGGGCGCTGGGAGGAGCTGGCCCACCCGAGGCCCTGGCACCAGCTGGCAGAGCTGGTTGGGGGGCTGGAGGGAGGCAGCTGGGATGAGGGTGTGAGAAATCGAGGGGAGGGGGGAAGCACCTCCCAGGTGCATGCTGGGATACTCTCTGTGGAGACCAGTCACCACCTTGTTCCCCCCCACCCCCACCCCGGGGCAGGTGGTGAAGTCGGAGCTGCTGGAGCACATGCAGGTGCAGCTCGGGGACCTGCTGGACAAGGCCGCGGAGGAGGCTGCACGGTGCTACCCGCAGCCCCACAGAAAGGCCCGGCTGGAGAGAGAGGACAGGTGAGAGCAGGGGGCGGGGATCCGCCCACCCAGCACCCCACTCCTCCCCCCAGCTCTGGGGCTCCTCTCCCTGCCACCACGCGGCACCTCCATGGGGAGTCCCCTGCTTCGGGGATCTCCTTCCTGGTCGCCAGCCAACCAGGGATTCTCCCACCTAACCCAGAAGGGGGTGTCTGGGGTGTGACACAGCGAATGGGGGCACTGACATGGCAGCGGTGCTGAAAGCCGGTGCCCCACCCCCTCCTGCCCAGACCCCACCCAGGCCCCCCTGCTGAGTAGGTAGAGTCATCCACAGCCTGGTCCGGTAGTGAGGGTGCTGGGCTGAGACTCAGGACACCTGGGTTCAAGTCCCGTTCCTGCTGCATGACTGTGGGCAAGTCACTGCCCCCCTCTGTGCCTCAGTTTCCCCTCCTACCCCATGTCCAGTTAGCCCGTGAGCCTGTTAGGCGTCACAGGGTCCGAAAGCCAGCATCTACTGCTCTGTTAACCAGCGCTCTAAGCATCAAATTGGAGACCCCCATGTGCTGATCCCCCTCGGGGGACACCTTCCGCCCACCCACCTTGCAGCTGATGGGGATGGTGACTGGCTGTGACTATCCTAGAAGTGCAGTGGGTGCGGGGAGGTGGCTGTGACAAGCCCCTTCCCCAGTCTGTGGTTACTGCTTGGAACTTCGTGGTGCCAGTGGACATGAACCTGGCTACTCCAGAAGCCCAGTCCCATGCAGCGTGAGCTGCAGGAGAATCCCCGTTAGCCATTAGCAATGTAGGGCCTGTGAAACACAGCTGGGCTCTTCTGGTTCCACCCAGCAGCCGTGAGCATGCACCGGCTCATTAGAAAGGGGGGGGCATTGTCCTGGGATGGAAGGTGCACTAGAAAAGCAGCGCGCCAATTCGGGGGTGGGAGTTTCTCCCCCAGGTCTAACCCCGATCCCCGCTGGAATCCTTTAGGGGGAGAGGCTCCCTGCTGGAGAAGCGGAAGGTGTTCGTCGACCGGCAATCGCTGCTCGAGTGAGTACGGCCTGGCTTGGTGCAGGCGCAGGGGCAGGGAGCTGCACCGCGATGCCCAGGTGTGCCAGCCTGATGCAGGGTGGCAAGGGGGCAGGGCCTGACATTGCAACACATCCAGCTGGGATGGACCCAAAACCCACCCAGAGCCTTGAATCCCCAGCACAGGGCACCGGACAGGATGGACTCATCGGAGTAAGAAGCTATCCTGGGCCTGCTTAGGGGAGACTGGAGGGCTGCTCAGCGACCCTAGAGGCAACCAAGGAGTAGCTGGGGTGAGGGATTTCTCCTCCCACATCCAGAACTGCCCTCCCCCCACCCGACATGGCCTGGAATGGCCCCTGTGCTGTTGGATCTTACAGAATGGGAGGTGGGGGAGACAGAGCTGGGGGGGAAGCTGTGTGTGCCCCTAGGGGGAGCCCTTGTGCTGGAGCTTCCAGGAGTTGGGTCATTTAGTCAGGACACCTGAGTTCTCTGCCTGGCCGTGGGAGGGGAATAGGATCTACTGGTCAGAGTGGTGGGGCTGGGAGTCAGGACTCCTGGGTTCCATTGACTCAACTCTGGAAGTGGAGTGGGGCCTAGTGGCTAGAGCTCGGGGGGGCTGGGAGTCAGGAGTCCTGGCTGTGCCACACTCTCAGACGAGTCTCTTTGCTGCTCTGTGCCTCAGTTTACCCACTTGTAAAATGGGGATGATGATCTGCCTGCAGCTTTGTTATTGAAGGTTGGAGGACTCCCCCTCCCCCACCAGCCAGGAAGAGGCTGTGGACACAGGGAGGGTGGGTCAGTCCATGCCCTTCCCCCAGTTCTGGGCGGGTAGCATGACCTCCCTGCCCGGCTCTTTTCCAGCGAGCTGCTGGAGGTGGAGCACTTCCGAACCATCTACCACATGTTCATCGCCGTGCTCTGTGTCTTCATCGTCAGCACTGTCGTGGTGGACTTCATCGACCAAGGGAGGTATGGCAGGAGGGTCCCCGCTTCGACCAATCACATTTTTTTTGCCTGGGGGTGTGGCCTGGGGGGATCCCTGCCCTGACCAATCAGAGCACAGTGTTCCTGGGGGAGGTTGGCAGGAGGATCCCCACCCCCAACCAATCACAGCCTTGTATGCCTGGGGATGTGGCAGATCCCCAGGGCTCCACAGCCCAGCCTGAGGGACCCCAGCTTGCACTAAAGAGGAGGAAGTGGCATTTTCTCCAGCCCCTCCCTCTCCCCGCTCCAGGGAGACTCCTTCTGGGGTCGCCCCCTTCCTCTCTGCCCATCCAGCGATGACACCAGCAGGGCGTGTGGGAGGGGGGTTTAACCACGAGAACATGAGTTGGGCCCCTTCCCCTACACCACACGCGGCTCTTCAGAAGTTAATATGCGGCTCCTTTTATAGGCACCGACTCCGGGGCTGGAGCTACAGGCACCAACTTTCCAATGTGCCGAGGGTGGGGGGGCTCACTGCTCAACCCCTGACTTTGCCACAGGCCCTGTCCCCACTCTACCCCTTCCTGCCCCCTCCCCTGAGCCTGCCCTGCCCTCGCTCCTCCCCCCTCTCCCCCAGAGCCTCCTGCACGCCACAAAACAGCTGATTGGGAGGTGCTGATCGGCGGGGCTGTTGGTGGGTGGGAGGCGCTGGGAGGGGGGTGGGGGAACTGATTGGGGGCTGCTGACGTATTACTGTGGCTCTTTGGCAATGTACATTGGTAAATTCTGGCTCCTTCTCAGGCTCAGGTTGGCCACCCCTGCCCTACACGGTGAGAATACGCGGCCCAAGGGCTTCCCAAGGGAGCACCGGCAGAAAGCCTGGGGCAGCCTTTGCCAGTGTTCGTAGGGTCAGGAAGGTCCGTAGTGTTTGCCATAGGGCAGTGAAGGTTCATTGGAGGGCTTTAGGGACACAAAGATCCCTAGTGAAGGTTCATGGAGCCATGAACACCCCTAGTGGAATGCCACAGGGCCCTGAGGGTCCGTAGGGCCACGAACAACCCCTAGTGGAATGCCACAGGGCCCTGAGGGTCTGTAGGGCCACGAACACCCCTAGTGGAATGCCACAGGGCCCTGAGGGTCCGTAGGGCCACGAACACCCCTAGTGGAATGTGATAGGGCCCTGAGGGTCTGTAGGGCCATGAGTGTCCCTAGGGCCCATGATACATGGCGGGTCCATGGTGCAGCTCTGAGTCCTGTGTCGCCCTCCTCTCCCCCTGCAGCTTAGTCCTGGACTTTGACCTCTTCATCTTTGCCTTCGGGCGTCTCCCCACGGTGCTGGCCACCTGGCTGGTCATGTTCCTCTATACCCTGCTGGTCCCCTACAAAGCCCTGCAGCTGTGGGCTGGCTCCTACCACACCGTGCGCTTCCCCCGCCTCTTCACTGCCATCCTCTGGGGGGCGCTGCTGGCCTGCCACGCCACCGTGCTTGGCTTCTACCCCATCTACATGGTGATCCAGCACCAGCTCCCACCCGCATCCAGGTTCATCGTCGTCCTCGAGCAGGTGAGTGCCATGGGGCAGGGCACAGAGGGGAAGGACCAGGCACAGGCAGGGCAGGAGGTCCCCACGGCTCAGCAGGACCAGTTGTCCTGTAGTCACCGTCCAGCTGTCCCGTACTCCCGCTGTCCCCACTGTAGACGTCTTCAACCAGATGTTTCTCTAGGCAAGTTCTGGAATCTATTTGAGCATCTGGCTCCTCACACAGCCCCACAAAGCTAGGGTCATCCTACCTTCCGGGATGGGGGGCCCAGCTTCCACTGGGGGGTCCACATGGGATGCAGGTAGAAGGGGAAAGGTTGGAGCTGTGACGGGAGCTAGCCAGATTCTTTGCACGGTGTCCATGCATCACTGTCTTCCAGGGAACCGGGGACTCCCCCAGCCCTGCTGCAGCTCTGGCTGGGGTGGGGCTATGGCTTTCTGGGGACAGGCCAGGTCAGGAGCATGAGCTGGGTTTTGCAAAGTTCCCTGTTCCCTCCTCTCCAGATCCGGTTCGTGATGAAAAGCCATTCATTCCTGCGGGAGGCCGTGCCCGGCATTATCCATGCCAAGCCGCCGGACGGTGAGTACTGATCACAGGGCCCCTCTCTGCCGGTACCCAGTGCCAGCCAGTGCCCCTCTGCCTCTCCCCCAGCACTCCCAACAGACATTTCCTAGCCACACGTTTGTTTTTCTTCTTCCAGGGGAGGTGAAGCCTCCTGCGATGTCAACGTACTTGTATTTTCTGTTCTGCCCCACGCTGATCTACAGGGAGAGTTACCCCAGGTAAGCCTGCTGCATGCCACGGCAGAGGGGAAGGGGGGGGGCTGTGCTGAGGGCAGAGAGATCCACACCTGGGGGCAGCCCCACTCCTCCCAGGCATGACCTGCTTCCCATGAGCATGCTGGATCTGTGAGCAAGAGGGCAGGATGGGGGGGGCATAGTCTGACGCTCTAGCCACTGACCGACTCCCTTCCCCCAGGACCCCCTACGTCCGGTGGAAATACGTCGCTCAGAACTTCGCCAAGGTGAGAACGGCTGCTTTCCTCTGAAATCTTTTCATAGCATTCGAGGCCAGAAGGGGCCCTTCCGGTCTGACCCTCTGCCTAACCCAGGCCGTTGCATTTCACCCAGATACCCCTACGTGGAGCCCAGTCGGGCTAAAGCATTTCAGTCCTCGGGGGAGCTGAACTGGTGTGTGCCACTGGCAAAGAACAGGAGAGACCGTGGTGCCACCAATGCCTGAGGCCCCTAGAGACAGGGGATTGATTAGGTGAGACATACCCAGATGTTCCCATGCTGCAGAGAAAGTCAAAAAACCCCTAAGGTCCTTCCCAGCCCTGATCCCTCAATCAATTAGACCCTGAGCATGTGAGGGTTGATCTACACTGACATCAGCAGAGCTACGTCTCAGGGATCAAATCCACACCCCGGAGAGGTGCAGCTATCCCAGGCTAACCCTTGGTGTAGACAGTGCTAGGTGGACAGAAGAATTCTTCCTCTTGTGGAGGTAGATTTACCACGTGGCTACCCTGAAGCGCTGTAGCGAGGGACAACACTGCAGAGTTTTAAGAGTAGACGTGGCCTTCCCACCAGCCAGGAATCTACAGAGAGGAGAACTGTCGCTCATCCCTTTTCTAGAGAGGGCCGTGCGCGATGCCGGCTGGCAGAGGGGAAGGATGGCTATGTGGTTTCAATCCCCTCTTGCCCTGTGACACACTCCCCTGTGACCCCAGGCGAGTCACTCAGTCCCTTGGTGCCTCAGTTTCCCATCTGTAAAATGAGGATAATTGACCTTTCCCAGCAAACCTGTTTTTTGCTGGAAAATCGGGGGTGGGGGAATAGGCATGGACAAAACGTTTTCCGGCAGAAGTGTCTGCTTCCTGCGGAGAGTTTTGACTTGGGGCGGGGTGTGTCAAAAAAATGCCCGAAAGTGGAAATGTTTTGGCGGAAAATTGTCGATTTTCAAATTTCCAACGAAAGACTGAAATTGGACCCCGGGGGGAAAAAAATCCAGCCTCTAGCCCTTGTGGTTGCAAAAAGCCCACGTGGCCTGAGTGCGAGCGGCGCCGAGACGTCTGCCTGAGTCTGCCTGAGGCAATCGCTCGGGGAGGTGTGAACTGCTCCGGGCCTCTCAACTCCGATGCCCAGTGACAAGCATTTCAGTCTCGCTGAGGGAGGCTTCTGGGAGGAGCTGGAGTGGGGAGTGTCCCCAGATCTAACCCTGCGCTCCAGCAGAGCGTGCTCCGTCCAGGGGCCCTTTGTGAGGTGCGGGGGGAGCAGTATCCCTGACTGGGTCCCCCCGGCAGTTTCTGGGCTGCCTGTTCTATAGCTATTTCATCCTGGAGCGCCTCTGCATCCCCGTCTTCACCAACATGAGCAAGCAGCCCTTCAGCATCAAGACGCTGGTGCTGTCCATCTTCAACGCCACCCTGCCAGGTACCTGGCCCCTGGTCGCTCCCCTCCTGGGGTGGGGCTGGGGAGAGGGGGCGGA